AATGATGTACAAATGCGCTTTACACAATTGATGTGTGTATGGATTGCGATAACAGTTGTATGAGCCCCTAATAAAATGTTTAAAAAAAAAAAGATTTAGAGATTCTCTCAGGTAATAGTTTCATGAGGTTCATCCCTCCTCCATCACTCCAGAACCCCTGTTCTCATTTTCTTTTGTCTTTATGATGAGGAGCAGTCTTTGGAATCATTCATCAAAATGTTTGGTAATGGTAGCCAGGCACCATCCAGTGCTTCTGGTTTCATGGCAGAGGAGACAATTGTTCAAGGAGGCAATTAGCCACCTATTTTATTTTCTCTTCCTATTCCAAACTCTCTGTTCCTGGTGAAGAGGCTAATTGCTCCGGGTTGAATGGCTGCTTGCAAGCTTTTAAGATGTCAGACACTACGTGACAAACTAGGAGGTAGAAAAGAAGCACTAAATATTATTTGGTTAATTAACTCACATGCCCATGAAACCATAATTTGAAACTTCTAAAGGAAGGAACCAAATCCCATATGGTATTTGTTTGTGCATATGCAGCCTTCAGCAGCCCTCTTCCCTGATCCCTCCTTTCGTCATTGTCAGTATCTCTATCACACAACTGTTGCCAATTCAACAGATTAAAGTTACGTAACTTACCTACAATAAGCCTATTAATTGGCTGTGTAACCAAAAGGTCAGCAATTCAACCCCCCTAGTGTCTCTCGCTGTTCTTTTCCGTAAGGTCACTATGAGTCAGCATGGTAGTGGGTAATTAAGTTGTTGTTAAATATTTTAATTTATATCAAATTATTAAGTCATGTTAGTCTCATCATTAGAGATAAGAAATAAGTTCTATTATTTTATTTTTTTTATTTTTAGGAAAAAAGCAAAAAGACACCACTTGTTTAGAACTTTACAGCAGAAAATATATTTTGACTTGCAGAAGATTAGTGTGCTATCGAAGGATTGGCATAGGTTTTATTTTATGTCATGATTGTTCTGAGAAACGCTATGTAGTATACTTGGCAGATCCTCATACCACTTTTGCTCCACAGGAAAATGACTCGGGCACTTTGGACACAGTGGGTGCTGTAGTTGTGGATCAAGAAGGGAATGTTGCTGCTGCTGTCTCCAGTGGAGGCTTGGCCTTGAAACATCCAGGGAGAGTGGGACAGGTAATTAATTATAGAATCTTAAAAACTAGCTATTCCAAGTAAAGGATGGAATTGATTTAACTTGCAACTTTTTAAACGGGTGGGGACATTTTTGTTCTTTAAGAAAAAATGGGGATATTATTGTTCTTTAACATTTATACAGTATACGTCATCAACCCAACACTTTTTCAAAATTGGTATATTTACAATTGATAATCAGCTCGAATGGTCCTTGGAAGCAAGAGCAGTGAAACTTGTCCTGCTTACTGTAGCCAGGCCATCGGGCAAGATCAGATGCTGAAGAAAGTCCTCATACTCGGTGAATACATGATCAGCAAAGAAAGAGATTCTCAGTGAGCTGGGTGATCCAGCACCTGCCCCAATGGGCTTGCATATAGCACTGAACGTGAAGACGGTACAGTACTGAGCCGTGCCTTTTTCTTGTTACCTGGAGGGTTGCATCAAACTGGTGACACCTAACAAATGTTACACCACTGTCAACAGACTGGACGCTGGCCTGCGTATTTAGTAGATATTTAACAAATATGTATTGATTTTCTTAAAAAAAAAAATCTATTTATAAATGTCATTCTGTTTAGGAGCAAGCACTACCTGACTACATTGTTGATGACTTTCCTTGTGGGAAAATAATTTAGAATCACATACATTAAATCATCCTCAAGGAACTGAGAGAATTGACTCTCTTTATTCCTCCACTGGTCAATCATTTCAGACATTTTAAAAAGTAACCACTGTTTCAGGTCACATGAGCCTACTCATGAATTTTTTTAATGAAAAGGGTCTGATTTCTTGAAACTTGCTTATTCTCAGTTTGCGTACACATTCTCTTAAGCCTCCTCCCCGATCTACATTGTTTAGTTTATAATTGAGAATAAAAATTGAGAGTTAAAAACAATCTGCCTGATGCAGTAAGCTTTCTAAGGATAAACCAATTTAGCACATTGCTTGTTGTTGTGATGTGCCATCAAGTCCGACCCAACACATGGTGACCCAATGTACAATAGACCAAAACACTGCCTGGTCCCGTGCCATCTGCACAATTACTCTTAAATAATTCTTCAAAGATAAGCCCATTATTGCAGCCACTGTGCCAGTCAGTCTTATCAAAGGCCTTCTTCTTTTCACCAACCTTCAACTTTGCCATGCATGATGTCCTTATTTCTTAGGTGTTTAATAAATATTTGTTGAGTGAACAAATGAATAGGACTCTCTCATGGAGCCTGCTAAAGCAATTTGCAAGGGGATGTGTTTCCACTTGGTCTTTGCATCTAGAGTTACATATGAGGGACTTCTTGGTATGCTATATTTACTTTGTTCCTGAAAGGTAGATCAATTATTTAATCTATGGCTCTTTTAGCGATTATCTCTTATATAGTATATTATAAATTCTAGCCTCTATGATTTCATTTTGGAGGGAGTTCTTTTCTCTGCTAATGGACAGGATTAAGGTAGGATTAAGACAGTGTGAATCCAATCAGTGATGTTTATTTGCTTGAGCTCTGCTGAAAGCCAAAACCACACATCAAAGCCATTTCTCTCTCTCTCTCTCTCTCTCTCTATATATATATATATATATATATATATATATATACACATACATACATATATATGCATATGTGTGTGTGTGTGTGTGTGTGTGTATATATATATATATATAAGTATATATATATACTTATACTCAAGAACACACAGAGAAATCCCAGGACCATCAGAAGCAGAGTAAGGTCGATATCTCTGGCTGAAGTGGTAGAGGCCCAGGCCAGAAGCACCAGAGGCTGAAGCACACAGACCATGGGGCAGAGCACAGGAGCCAGGCTAAGAACAGAGGCTGAGGCAAGGAGACCATGAGATAGAACAAAGGACGAGTCCTGTGACTGTGAGGCAGAGCAGTGGTCTGGCTTCCTGGCCCCTGGAGGTAGAGGCCAAGAGATCACATGGCTGAGAGGCTGCAGATCAGAGAGAGACTTGGTTACTAGCTGAGAAGAGGCACTGCTTTGGGGCCAGTACCTGTATCCATTCTGTTTGCTGATCTTGATTTGCGGTATCCTGTTAAGTTCCCTAATACACCCTCATAGGTGTGAGTTTTTTCTCTGAGTTCTTTATGGCCATTGCAAGGATTTCCTGACTCCAGCAGAGATGCAGAATTCTGTGGTAGGAATCACTGGTGTCAGAAAAAGAAAAGGAAGACGGAGGGTAGAGGCATCCTACCCTCTGCCTGTACCAGTCTGACCTCTGCCTCTTAGCTATAGGGAAACTCAAGAAGGTCAGATGTGGCTGCTCTGTGTCCTTTTTGCAGTTCCTTACGTTTGATGAAGAGTCAATGTGATAGTTGGTTTGGTCAGAGTTGTTAGCAAATGCTTGGAGTAGAGTGATCTTTGCAAAGCCTTAAGTAATACAAATCTGTATTGGGTGGAGAGGGGAGAGAATAATTAATTTTGTGCTACTCTTTGCCTACCGAGGAGCCCTTGTTGCATAGTGGGTTACATGTCAGGGACTGTCCTGAGAAAACAAATACTTCTATAAAACCTAGATGTTGGTTTGCCCCACTTGGCTAGTTTTTCTAATTTGTGAGAGGTGGAAAATTAGGGAAGGATGTTGAGGAGAGGAATAGAGGCGTTTGGTGGATAATTGTTGCCTAATGGGAATAAAGTACACTTAGATTAAAAAACAAAAACAAAACTAGATAGCCTGGAAATATGCATATGTAATCAAGTGATGAGAGGCCATGGTGATGAGAGCTATTTTTTAATAAAATTTTTTATTCATTTTAATATAGCTAAAACATTCTCATGTCAATGTGTTGTCAATATAAAAATATTAGTAAGAAATTAAAAAAAATTTTATTTTATTTTTTTAAAAGTTTATTTTGGCAAAATAGAATTAACAAAACTTAATAGAAAAGAATTAGTACACGAGAGACTTGAAAAGTGAAATCCTTGTTCAAATAGAGATACTATTTATTTAAATGAACTCTTTGTTTTTGATCATTTTATTGGGGACTCTTACAAGTCTTATCACAATCCATACATCAATTATACATATGTTGTCTTCATTCTTTTGTAGACATTTACTTTCTATTGAGCCCTTGGTATCAGCTCCTCTTTTTTCCCTCCCACACTCTAAATTATTTTTATGTACTAGAGAGTGTGGTCAACTTGTGTGCTAATTCATGTAATTCTAGGATAATACCATGAAGCGGATATCTTATTATCTTCATTTTATAAAAGGAACTAAGATCTAGAAAAAATGATGATTTTAATAATAAATTATAATAGCATTTATACAATTGACTTTACTACAGAACAATATCCTGACTGCAATTTTACTACCAAAAAGAAGAAGCCTTGGGTTTGTTTTAGTTTTTGCTTGTTTGTTTGTTGTTTTAGAAACCCTAGGTGGTGTAGTACACTTTTGGCCCCTAACCACAAGGTCAGCAGTTCCAAACCACCAGGCGCACTGAGGGAGAAGGATGCGACTTTCTGTTCCCTTAAAGAGTGACAGTCCTGGAAACATACAGGGGCAGTTCTGCCCTCTTCTATAGAATCACTGAGTTGGAATTGACTTGCTGGCCATGAGTTTTAATTTGTACTTTCTCACAGCCATGGAGTCATTGTTGACTCATAATGATCCCCTGTGGATTTCCAAGATTGCAATTAAAAAAAATATTATGTATATATTTATTTATTTTTTTACATCATTTTATTGGGGGCTCGTACAATGCCTATCGTACAATCCATACATCCATCCGTTGTGTCAAGCACATTTATACATTTGTTGCCATCATCATTCTCAAAACACTTGCTTTCTACTTGAACTGTTGGCATCAGTTAAGATTGCAATTTTTATAGGAGTAGAAAACCCAGTCTTTCCCCTGCAGTTTGTGTTTTAGACTTGCTTAAGAGGGCTGTGTTGTGCCTAAAACAGTGATTTAAAAAATCCTCTGACTCTTTTATCTTAATGGTGTAGTGGTTACTCATTGGGCTGCTAACACCAAGGTCAGAGGTTCAAAACCATCAACCACTCCTCAGGAGAAATAGTCTCAGAAACCCATAGGGGCAGTTCTGCCCTGTCCTGCAGGGTTGCTATGAAGAGTAGGCAGTATCATCTCATCTAACCAATTCAAGAAGGTTGTGAAGGGAAATGACTTTATTTTGTAAAATTAACCACAAAAAGCACTATAAAGGAAATTTGCTGAGAGAGAAGGTAAAAAAGAGTGATCTTAGATCTTACCTTTCCAGAAATTGATGATTTCCAGTGGATTTCTACGAGTTGGCCATATTTACTATGTTGGTATTGTGTAGGCCCTTTTCCAAGCCAATTCTAGGGAATGGAAATGACAGTAGGAAAATGTCCAGGGCTTTGGATGAAGGAAAAATAGCCCAGCCTATTGGGATAGGATGTTCTCTGAGGTGTTACCTGACTCGGCACCTGCATGAAGGTGTCTTCGTTATCTTGTGCTGCTGTAACAGAAATACCACGTGGGTGGCATTAACAAGTTTACTTTCCCACAGTTTACAAGAATTGAGGTGTGAATACAGGGTGCCAGCTTGAAGGAAAGGCTTTCTGTTGGCTCTGGAGGAAGATTCTGGTCATTTCAGCATCTGTCTCCTGGTTCCTTGGCGATCTTATATATATATACATATATATATTCCTTGGTGAGCTTATATATATAAATCATTTTATTGGGGGCTCGTACAACTCTTATCACAATCCATACATCCATCCATTGTGTCAAGCACTTTTGTATATTTGTTTCCTTCATCATTCTCAAAACATTTGCTTTCTACTTGAGCCCTTGGTATCAGCTTCTCTTTTTCTCCCTCCCTCCCTGGTCCCCCCTCGCCCATGAACCCTTGATAATTTATAAATTATTATTATTTTGTCATATCTTACACTGTCCAAAGTCTCCCTTCACCCAATTCTCCTCTGTCCGTCTCCCAGGGAGAAGGTTATATGTAGATCCTTGTAATCTGTTCCCCCTTTCTCACTCACCTTCCCTCCACCCTCCCGGTATCACCACTCTCACTACTGGTCCTGAGGGGTTCATCTGTCCTGGATTCCCTGTGTTTCCAGTTCCTATCTTTACCAGTGTACATC